AAATCATCATTCGTTAAGTGGTGTTCGACCCGAGGGCTTTTACCACTACATGTTTATCAATCTCCTAAGGACATGTAAAAGTTCGTTAAATTCCACAAAATAGAAAAGTCCTGTGCACTTGTAATAAAAATGCAAAGGCTTCAGTAGTGAAGAAGTTGATCAGGGGTGACGCCATATATCGGCCACAGATGAAGTCTTCGTTGGATAAGCTATAATAGCAACTAATAATTTTGGCATATCTTTTCGCAGAGGCATATCTTTTACACATTATCGTAGATTTGACACAGTATCGTACAGTAAAAATGGAAAATAATATATACAAGTCCCAGAAATGTTTTTTTTTTTGCTTTCGTCTGGGCGAAAGAAAGTACCTTAATACTCATAGGGAAGTAGACTGTCACGTGATATACGAATTTAATGATGATAAAGTCAGAAGCTTTGGTACCGCGCAAAGTCCATAGTAAAATGCAAATGATGATAAAGATGAAACAAAATCTAGATTAAATAGTTGAAATAGCAAAATATATACAAGAACTTAAAACTGAAACTATATGTGAAGTGAAAGTAGTAGTTATTATCAAGGAGGTTAGAATAGAAGGAGGGAGGGTTCGCAGTTTCCTCCACTATCGGGGAATGAAACTCCACGGAACAAGCGGCGTCCATGTTTGTTACTTCAAAACATTGCAATACGGTAGTGAAACGTACGTGTTTGTAAGCTGTTCTATGCATGAATTTTCCAGTAAAAATATGTTAAATTTATAATGAAATGCTTCGCTATTGTTAGTTTTTTGTTTTAAAGTTATAAAGATGATATCTGTAATTTACTAAGTACAGAAAATCATTAAGAAATATTTCGAAATCTAAATGCATGTGCATAACATTAAAGCCTTTACAAATTATGTTTCTGCATAATTTCAAGAATTTGTTTAGGTTTTATTAGCAACTTCTCTGGTATACTTTCCAATTGTTTCTTTAAGAAGTGATATTTCTGATTTATTCGCAATATTATTATAATTTATTAAAGATCATTTTTACCTAAAATTAATAGCAGATAATTATCCAAAAAAATGGTAACATGTTGCTTTTTTTTTTAAATGAAAGTTTTAAATAGATTCTTTTCACAATGAACAACCTTATATCAACAAGAAAATAATATTAATAAAATAAAACAGATTTATGTGAATTCAATGATTTCAGTTTATGCGCGTTTCATATTTATGAATCTCAAAGAAATTACCTTGATTAAGCTGATTACAGAAATATACCTATATAAATTTTTGGATATATCTTTTCACATGTTCAATTTGTAACATTTTACTTACGTTTATCGCTATACTGCCCAGAAATTTGTAAGCTTATGCAAAAACCTTTAACAACAGACAGTTTCTCTGATCAATGCACAAATTATATTCGTAACAGTTCACAAAACTTAAGAATAATAATAATTAATACATAAAGAAAAGCGTTGCTATTATTTAACACCTTTACAATTCATAAAAATAGTAACATTGATTTTTACTTTTCATGAAAATTATAAACGAATTATCTAAGCGTTCAAATTATACAGCAAGCATATAATCCTAGCATATATCATTGTATTTAAGGAACGAAGATACCAGCTGTAAGCCAAAACATTAAAATGTATTGTATTTAACATGTTTCGATTATTATTAAGTCTTTTTTGTCACATTTGAAAGAAAACAAGATGACATTGTGACATTTTTTTTAACATATTTATGAAATACATAAAAAAAAAAAAAAGAAAGAAAAATACTTACGAGTGAACAGTAATCCCAGGAATCTTTTCGAAAATCTTTGTGCATCCATATGAATATAAGCAATGCTTCAAAAGAAGAAAAAAAAATTCAAACAACTTTTGCACAATAAGCTAAGTACGTTGGTTGAAAGCTGTCGCAACTGGCTCGGAAGTAGAGACAAACATACGCTCCAAGGTCCGTAGAAAGAACAGGTTAGCTCACTTGGGGTAAACAAACGAAAATGCGTTCTCGCTGCCTATTGGCTGTGACGTCATTGAAGTTTTCTCTCCTCAGATCAACATAGATTTTTGCATTGATTTAAGCTGAATGTAAGCTTGTGCGCGACTGTGGAAACTCATTCGTTTTTTTTTTTTTCCTCTCAAATATAATTAAATTTATGTAGCATAATGGTTGGTATGCACTGCGCGATTGCATTATGCACAATAATGCAGGCAAAATAAAAAATAATCAGCAAAATGTATTATTTCATAGGTATAGAAACTTATAGTGTTTTTTGATTTGATGCAAGTTATTTTGAATTTTCGGGTTACTTAAATTAATTTATTCATTAATATATATAGAAACTTCTATGCATTTTATTAGGTGTATTTAAATGCCAACGGTTTTGAATATTGTTGTGAATTGTGACAGATGCATATAAATATGCTTAAATAGTTTTAAATTATGTGTATGTAGCTCACTGCATTAATTAACTCGTTTTACACATGGAAAAATGGCCATGCAACCAGCCTTTTCTCCAGAAATTGAAGTCAAACCACCAGTGTTCAGCTGATGGGCCTTCTCAATTACTTAGAATTTGAGCCTATTGTACTGTTAATATGGTACATGCCAGAAATACAATATCATTAATACACGGGGTACATGTAAGCAATAAGAAGGACTAACAACACCGCAGAGTACAGAAAGCAACATATTAGAAGTCCACAATTCATTTGGCGAGCAAATTAAGTTGTATTATTATACTTAAGGCTATCAGTTCTGGATAATTTAGTTACAGTAATTTTGCAAAGATAGTAAAGCAGTTCCTTCAGCAATATTAATTTTCTAATTATTAAGGCTTTTTTCTTTCATATTATTTGAAAACAGAGTAATACACAGCATGCATTTAAATGCAATCAAAATTTAGGAAATGTATGATTTAAGAATATAGAAACGTTTAAAAAACAAATATGCTAAAATTCTTGTAAAATATAAAATTTCATTTTCTATCTGTACTTATAATTTGTTATGATTTGTATTATGAATGAATAATATAACTTAAGCAAATATTTTATTTATTATAGTTTTAAAATTTGCATTCCATTACTATACAGTGCACCATGATATATTTCATACAAAATTTCATTTATAAAATTAAGATCCATATTTACTAAGATTTTGTTGAATGTAGTGTTTAAAATTTAGTACCAATTTTGACTTTTGCATTTAATTATATAAATTTACCTGCAGAATTATATTTTGCTAGTATCTACGAATGTAATCATTATGTCTGTGGGGATATTGTACACAGGTCATCATATTAAATAAACATCCACCCTTTTTCCATGTGTTCACAGAAAGTACGATGACAGTCAAATGACGTTAAGATAAACTGCATAATGTTTTTATGAGTGCATTTATCTGTGTATGAATAATATTTTTCCACAACTAAACTGATAACTCTAATTTTTTTTATTCATAGAATGGTTAAAAACTGAATATGCTAAATGAAATGTAATATTTAAGTTATTATATAAACATATTTCTTTTTGATACCAAAACAAACACATACAGCATTCAGTCCTATTAATATCTGCCCACCAGCGGCCGAGCGGTAAAGTCGCTAAACACTGGTAGTTCGGTCCGAGGTTCGAATCCCGCGAACGGGCTGGCTGCATGGGCGTTTTCGTGGTTTTCCCCATGTGTAACGAGTATACGAGCCAGTTTCCCTTAGAAAGTCCTCCACGAAGGCATCCCTCCCTTCAGGCGCATAGCCCTCGAGGCTTTGCCATAATCACACACACCACACCACCTATTAATATCTAGGATTTACTTCTCTGAAATAAAAAATGAGGATGACAATCCAGAAAATGACTACATGTTTCATTTCGTTATTATTTTTATAAATTAGATATAATACATAAGTGAAATAAATATAGAAACCTAAAAGATAAAATTCTAAATATACAATATTAATAACAAAACACAATAATAGAGGATATGCAACTATTCTTTTAATATCTTTTACTCATTTTTTATATAAAAAGTTAACATCTTCTATCTGAATACTTTTGGAAAAATTTTTATTTTTTATTTTTGCTAAAAAGTAAAATTCAAAGAATTAAGATTTAAATTAAAATTAAGTCTCAATTTTTATATAGAATTACATAATGCAGCTGCTGATTTTAAAGAGTCTGCTGATTAAGTATTACACTTCCTTTCAGTTATAGCTTGAATAGTTCATTTGTTTATGTTTCTTGTTGCTGCTTTACATCAAGAAATTACAAACAAGTTTTAGAATCTAGCGACTTATAATTTTATGCAATTTCTTTTTTTTAATCTATTAAAATTAATCATATATTACAGGAAAAGCTCATGCGAGTTCATCTGAAAAAAAAAAAAAAAAAAAAAAAAAAAAAAATTAAACAAATTAAAAAGAATTTATTTAAATTAATTTATAAGTTAATTATTTATTAATTATTACTAACCATTAAATTAATGAATTGATTATTATTATTAAAATAATTCAATAAAATGTAAAGAGGTAAATTAACATTTAATAAGCGATTTTTAATATAATTTTATTGCTGCTAAAAATAAAATTTTTGAGATTAAATTTCTACTGAAATTGTAGTTCCGTTAATTACATAAAAGAAGTGCCGGAGCCTTCTTATGTAGGGCTCCGATGCGCTCCGGCTAGAATTATCATTTATCCCATGAACTGAAAAGTACCGGAGCCGGCACAATTTAAGCTCTGACTACACTACATATTTTTCCAGTTCTTGTGAAATGTGGGTTTTCAGTCTGTTGAAGCTAAAATGAGTAACGGTATAAACAGCTGAATCTTGAATAGCAAATTCTGTAAGGAAGTTTGGAAGATTTTTGGTGAAATGGTGAAACAATAAATTACTGAGGGAACTTTTCGTAATTAAAACTTATTCTATACAGTAAACAATATTTTAGGTAGTTAAGTTTCAACTCCAAATATTAGAATTTTTACTTTTCCGATGAAAAACAGAACATATTTCAAAAGGAAATACGAAACTACTATTAGGAGATGCTACAGCGAACGTCAGTGACGTCACAGCCGAACGAGTCGCTGGCTTTTCGTTTGTTTACTCCAAGTGAGCTAACCTGTTCTTTCTACGGACCTTGCGTCAATAAGCCTTTAATGCAACATTCTTTGTAACCAATAATAAAGCTGAATGAATCCATCAATGTTTTGAGAGAACTGGACAGACAAAGTAGAGAAATGCGGAATTAACATCTGCCTTGGAAGCCGCTGTAGTTAAGAGCCGAATTTGTATAAAAGAGTATATATATATGCAATAATATTATGTAAAATTTTACTCAGGAATGTAAATAAAAATAAAATTTATTATTTTCAGTTGATATTGCCACAGAATTATGTCCTTTATGAATTTCATATCAGTAGTTTTGCAAAATTAGTCATTTTTGTGATATTACAAAATTCTTTAGAAATTTTGTGTTGTGTGTATAAAAAGTGAGATATAGTTAGTTATTTCCTTAAAATACTTATCAGTGTATTTTCAAATATTGTATTCCCTCTCTTTACATTGCTATAAATTTTCTCCTTGTTACTTATTATTTATGAAAATTTAAAAGTTATCATTATTCTTCGCGTAAACTAAACGATTATTGAATCAACTTCTCATATTTACCAAAATTGAACTTGAGAATTTGTTTCTACAAAAATTTTGTAAACCAAATTGGGGAAATATATGAAACCATAAAAGTATATGTATACAAAATAGTGTTATGTATAATTATATAAAAAAAAATGTATAAATACATAAATAAAAAATAGCATTATGTAGATTTGCATAAATATGTACTTAAAAGTAGTATTATATATAATTATATAAATATAGTTGCATACTTAAATTATTTTATGTCATTTTTCATAAGAGCTGCTCAAAGTCCTAAAAGAAATTCTTTAAATGCGTTTCAGGCAATTTTTTATTTGTGTATTTGTTACTTTTTCATAACTTCGTCATGTGAACTGATTTTGTGTAAGTACAATCCTGGAGTTTGTCAGTAAAAACGTTGGTGCATTAACTATGTATAGTGTAGAAATGCTCTTAAATTAAAAATCTATGTAAGAATGAATAAAAAATAATAGAATGGTAGAAATAATAATTAAATCTATCCCAGTCCTTCTTTTTTAAAAAAAATTTCATATCTTTTAGTTTAAGTCTTAGATCTCACCGTCTATTTAGTCTTGAAATGCATGTGAGATATCAAAGCAGATATAAATTTAAATCTTTGCATTTGTACCAAAATCATCTGTAACAGAAACACAAAAATATTGAATAATTTTCTGAATGCTGGAAAAGATCTCTCCTAAAAGCATAGTTTACAAAAAAAAAAAAAAAAAAAAAAAAAAAAAGTGTGATTTAAGTATATTGAAAAGAACTATGTTAATTTTCTGTATGCTTAATTTTAGTGTTTGTGAAGTTGTACTGTATTAAAAAGATAAAAAAGAGAAATATGAAAATATTTACAAATAATATAATTACAAATCATTTTAAGAAGAAGAATTAATAATAAGTGCAATTTAATTTTAGTGATTTAATCATAACATTGACATTGTTCATCCTGTTTCATAACGTTTAACATTGGCTATTTTTACTACACTTTTCTAGAAGTGGAATTCCATGTTGTCGAGAATAGTTCATGGTGTAATTTACCATGTGATGACAATCAAAAGGAATTTTTTCTCATCAAGCAGTTTATTTAGAAATTTAATCATTTATTTTTCACATCTAAATGAATTAAAATAAATTATAGGCTTCTAACTTCCAAGAGGAAAACTGTACATAAAAGAATGCTGGAAATCCTTTCACTGTGTAAACTCCACTGTGTTTGGCTCAAAATTGCTAGTCAACAATGTCTTCATTATCTTTGTGTGATTAGGAGCTTTTTTTTTTTTTTTTTTATGGAACTTATTTCAGTTTAATATTAGGCTGATAGTTTTATTTTAAAACTATATTTTGTATTTAAAATTTATGTAGTGTGAATGAAATTTTGAAATTATTTTCAGGGTAATTTTTTTTTTATTTTTTTATATAGTCATGGATCAAAGTTACCCTTGTGAAAGGAAAGGTGATTCCCGAACTGAATATCATTATCTTATGGCTGAAATGAGTAAGTATGAAATAATTTGTTGAGTTTTTTCTACTTTACCTTCCCTTAAAAATTTTTATTTTGTCCTCTTTATCTAGATCCTTACTTCATTCCTTTTGATCAGCAATCTTAGGTTCAGGTTTTGATTCAAAGCTTAAATTTGCCTTTTTTAAATTATGATTAGTTAAATTAAAATGATATCAGGTCATGTATTACACTCATTTGCCCATACAAATATTCAAGCATCTTATTTTTGAGTGGTATGCAAACAGGCAATCAACGGAAACAAACTCTTTCTTAATTAACTAACTTTTATACAGATTCTTACAAAAGTATACTTTTTTAATAATAATAAATACCATACTTCTTGTAAAACTCAACAACTGTTTAAAAACCGTATCTTTTTTAACTCTTTGATGGGTGGTGGGATGCCAAAATAAAAATTCTTTGCAGGTCTAATTTTGAAGCAGTTTTTTTTATTTATTTCTAATGCAATTTAAATCATCTGAACAACAACGTTTGGTGTTAGAATGAATGAGTTTGCTTTTCTAAAAAAATTATTATTTGAATTCATATATATTAATTAAGAATGGTTGAAATTAAAAGGCAGGACCAAGTACGTCCCACCACCTATGTAGGAGTTGCTGCTACTAGATGGCAGCACCATTCAAATATTTTTAAATTCAAGTATGTTTGTTTTATATCTTGATAATGATAATTTATATTTTTTAATAAATTGCAATAATTGTTAAAACTTGGAAAAATACTTAGTATTTTTTCCGAAAGAAATTAAAATATAACTCTGTAACGCGAAATGTCATTGAATACTGAATGGATACGTAAGTGTGATTCACCATAGAAAAATATCCTAAGCAGAGGAAACAGAGGTGAAATATAAATTATGATGGGCCTTCTAAATATCTTTCTTTTCAAAGCTGTAGGAAATAAAGTACTGGAGTGAAAATCTTCTCTGTTTCAAATCTATTATGAACTCATTAAAAAATATCTAAAAATTCATACAGAGAGTGATTTTTTTTAGAAATTATGTAATTTTTTATTTTGCGAATATGATCAATGTTTTCTAGATAATTATTCAAAAACGTTTTTTATATCTTTCATTTTCGTTTGGTTGCTAAAACTAGTACTTTAGATAAGCATGTTAGGAGAATTTACACTGTGGCAAAGATGCTATTTTACTGCTTTAGGTGCGGGGTGGGACAAGCGGTATCCCACCATGTCATGAATTACCTTAAAGGTTTACCTGTTTTTTTTTTTTTTTTGCATGAAATAACATTGTATTAGGGGCTAGTTATCTATATGTAAAGTTATTAAAAAAAATTCACTGAACCTCAAAGGGTTAAATAAGACCCATAATTTCCCCCCTCCCTCTAATCTGCCATATGCCAAACAGCTGTATTTCTTCAGAAAAGTTTTTTTTTTTTTTCAAAATGTATTTATTTCAAAATAACAAGATGCATTTTTTCTGTGATAGTTTTTTTTTTTTTTTTTTTGTTGCATGACAAATTATATAACATTGTTTTTATTACAAATTCATTTGATGTTAACAAAAGTTAAATGCATTTTTATCAAGTACATATATTTTACTGTGTCCAGAGCTATCTCTCTATATATTCTTTCTGCATCTAAGCAGTTTCTAAAATCTTTCAGGCTGTACATCGCAAATAAGCTAGTATGTTCTTTAGTAATGTTTTGTTATATATTTAAATATGGTAATACTCGTGGTTCATGAAATATATATTTTACACAAATAAAATAATTTTAATAGTCATTTTACTGTTATTTATGAATAATAATATTGTATAGTTACACCCTTCAAGTATGCGAATATATGTTGTTAACACTACAATACTCCATCATATTTGAAATATGCAGCATATAATCTCCAAAAGTTGAATGGGGAATGTCAAACCTATATTAAAAATTTCTTGGTACTTAGATAAAAATATTTAAGTAGCAAAGAACACTTATGGTACTAAAAATGATTTTAATTAAAGGAAAGAAAATTATAAATATTATTACAAAAATTACTTTGTTATAAAAGGTTGGGATATAAATTAATATCGCAAATTAACCTAATCAATTGCTGTTGAATAATCTGAAATAAAGGCAGAATTGTTTCAAATACTTAAAAATTAATTGTAGAACATAAGTGAAGATGACTGAAGGATACATATCCAAAAATACTAGAATGTAAAAATAAGCAAAATAGAAGATGGCAGCTCTAACCATAGTCTGTCCATCATGAAAAAGCTTTGAGCAAGTATTTGGCACAGTACCTTAACAACAGGGGTAATAGATTTAAAGGTTAAGTTTAGGAGTTACATGGTAGAAGTTCATGGGATGAGAAAATGGTTTTGATACTATATTAATGCTTCTGAGTTTGTGATACTTCAGAGTGGCATGGGTTTTTGAATCTCAGCCTTAATTAGCTAAATTTGTATATTTACTTATCATAGTCTCTATTTTCATAAACTTGCATTTATTAAGATGTTATATTAAAGAAAATGAAAGCAAAATATCTTAAATTAATTATTTTAATAGTCATTTTACTGTTATTTATAAATAATAATATTGTAATTAATTATTTAAATTATCTTAAATGAATTATTTAAGCAAAATATCTTAAATTATAAGCTAATATATACCAAATGACAAAAAAATCTGATGAGCAGATAAAGCTGGTCATGGCGCTCAATAGGTTAAAAGCAGTTGGAGTAGAGTAGACTTTAAGGTATCTCTTGTATTATGGCGAAGTTGTTGTTTGATTTATCGCCAAGTTGTTGTTTCATTTATGGTAGCCTGAGTAGTTGAATGTTATGGAAACCCTATTGTGATGTAATCGGGTGCATGATTCTGGCAAATTTTGAATCATGGGATGTTTTGTAAGCGTTTTTGAGCTGTGTGTTAAAACCGTTTAGTTGAATTTGAATGGGTTTGTAGGAAGAAAGGCTTAAGATGGTCACTATGTGAAGCGTTCGATCAGAAAGAGTACCTGGTTTGAAAAAAGTCATTTGAGTATAATTGATATTTTGGTTTTTACGTGGCTCTGGGTGTACAAAGTGAACTCGAAAATCATGGTAAGAGAATACAGTCAAAAGTCGTTAATCCGGACTCGTCGGGACTTCGGCGATTCTGGATTATCGATTTTTCCGGATTATAGATCATCAGTTTAAATCTGGTAAGATGGCATGCAGAAATTATAAAATTAAAAATATGAAACCGTAATTTATGAAATAAAGAACAATTATGATCTAAAGAGTATCAAAATTTACAAAAAAAAGCTTAATATTTATTTGTTTACTTTATTAAACATTTCTTTCAATGTAAGTTGTTTAAGTTGCTTCGTTTTTTATGTGATAATACATTCTCTTCAATTCTGTAAACAGACATTATTTCTTGTTCAGTTACAAAGTTCCGCTGTTCAGGTCCTATAATTGCTGTGTCTACCGACTAATTTGTCAATCGAAATTTTTTCGTTTTCAATAACCTCTGTTACTTTCTTCGCTATCGGAAGCGAATTATACTGACGAGGAATTTGATTTAAATCATATCAAAGGCAGAGTACATTGAGATGAAATAATATATTTAGTAAGGAATTATAAGCCAAATAAAAAAAAAAAAAAACATCTGCCATGAAGATAAGGATAGTGCTGACAGATCAACTTCCAATTCATTGCCCGCAGCGGCATTAAAGATAAACAAAGTTTAGATAAACAAACGTTAAAGTTTAGATAAACAAAGGATATGCCTTTATCCATTTGTTGCAGCAATTCCACTTTTTGTTTAATGAACTTCGAAACATACTTTCGCTTTGTAGATCCTTTACATATTAATAAATATATATCAGAAATTCTATTTAACATAATCGAAAGTTCAAGCTTACTTTTATAAAATTGCTCTAACAGTCTGCAAAAAATAATAAGCCGGATCCAATTCGAAGATTAAGGAACAACGCAATCTGCAACATTAACTGGAATAGATAATTAGATAATTTTAGCTTAGCTTATACCGTCCATTATACATAAAACATGCACTCATAAACGTATTTTGCGCATGCGCACCAGCATATTCGCAGCCATAAAGGTCTTACGCGCATGTGCCAACGCGACGCATGCGCAGGAAGTTTGTAGCGTTGAGGTCCGGATTATAGATCATTCTGGATTATGGGTGTCCAAATTAACGACTTTTGACTGTATTTGCTTTTGGTAGTGCTTAAATGTATTACATGTTTTTCGTTTTTTATGTTATTTTATTGTTTGGTTTAAAATGTATTTTATTGAGATTATGTATTTTTTGTTTGCCTATATTGTAGACTTTGGTGCTCCTTTGACTTTTTAAGTGAAAATATATCGGTGTGTACATGGACAAAGTAAAGGGAGTGCGCAATGCAAGTTTGTGCAATTCTGGAATTTTTTTTTAAGTGAAAATAGGTCGACGTGTACATGGATAAAGTTAAAAGAGTGCGCAATGCCATTTTTGTGCAATTCGGGGGGGGAGGGGTTAAGTGAAAATAAGTCGATGTGTACATGGATACTGAGTTTGTGCAATTGTTTGTCTTGTTATTTTGGCTTTGTGTAGCGGCGATTTTTGGTGCAAAAATCACCGCTTCGCAAGCTAAAATAACAAGCTAAAGAATTGCACAAAATCGGTATCCATGTACCGCCAAAAATTGCCAAGTTTTGCCAAGGGGTACCCTAAACTATACTTTTACCAAGCAGTTGTATGAGAAAACATATTTGTTATGTAAGTCTTTAAATTTTTCTTAATTAAATTTTTTGGTACTTTTCCGTAGTGCCGGCGCAGGCGATAAAGTCGCCAATAATGGTACAACTGATGCCAAACGGAATATCCTTGCTGGCAACCTTTTACGCCTCATTTTTAAAACAAGTAGCAACCATTTCTTATCAGATTGATCGTTTCTTTCAATATTGGCATACAATTACATATAATTTTTATCATAGAGTTCAATTTTATGCCTTAAGGCCCACGCGAAGTCAAAGTCAGGGTTTAAACTCGTCAGTTCTAGTGAGAATACATTAGCGAAGTAAAGCACTGCGATTTTACATAATTTCTGAGTAAGCTATTCATACGAATTGAAATAATTCTTGCATTTATACTTGTATTCCAAATTAAGATTTAACTTGAAACTAATGTAGATAATTACTGAGAGAATTAGATTTTTGTAACATAGTTTACGTGAGATGAGATCACTTGGGGTTACGTGATATGAACTGCTGAATCAGGATGTTGAACCTTGAAAGCATAGTAAATTCTTAAATTAATGTCTTTTTACTAGTTTATTGTCTTTATTTATTGGCTTTTTACAAAATTTTAAACAATATTAAAATGTTAATGCAAGTAAAATAAAAGATTCTTAGAACTAACATTTGTTAAAATTTTTTATGTGTATACTGTATGTTGTCGCCAATAAAGTCTGCTTGGCGAAATTTGCACAGGCAAAACAGAAAAGTATCAATTTTTCTTAATTAAAATTAACATTACAATAATCTTGGTACCATTTAAGAAACAGAAGTGCCATAGTAAGAAGGAAGTATTTGTTTAAGTATATGCAAGATTCTTAATTTCTTGGGAGATTTCTCTGTTTAAAAATTAAGTTTGCTAGTCATATATTTTGGTGTTTTGGCAGAAAAGATTTTTGATTTTTATCTAAAATTAAATGCATGTATAAAACATAGATAAATTAAACTTTTTAACCTTTAATTATTTATTAATGAATTTATTTTGTCACTTGTATTTGCAGAAAAATTGTGCTAGTTTTCTCATTATATATGTTCTTCAATCTTAGATACTTTTTGTATTAATTTTTAATTCATGCCGTAATTATTTTTGCAGAGGCCCAAAATTATGATGTTATTAAGTTTGCTACATATCGAACGGCATCGAAACTGCGTTTTATCCAAAAGAAGACAAATAGTATGTTGTGTTTTATTTTTTAGCATAAAAAGTTGTATTTTTTGTTTTCACCCTTTTCCCAAGTAGTGCAAAAGTATGTAAAATTACTTTTTTTAGTGCCTTTGTACTTTTAGAGAACTGTAATACAGCTAATCAGTCTCTGTGAAATTTTGATTATCTTCAGCTCATTCAAATTTTTCTTCATGCTAGATTGGTTCTTTTACATCAAATCATCTGTATTGTGATGGCTGATCAGTGGCCAAAAGCATAATATGTTCAAATTCTGGTAGTTTATCACAGAACTGATTTCTGCTAAATGGCCCTACTATGTGTACTTTACTCATGCATAACCTTAATATGAGCCCGTTTCCTATAGGAAATCCTTTAAACATTCTTTCTAATATACACAGCCTTTGTATTTGCCAAAATCAATTAACAGGGTTCTTACAATCCATAAGGGTCCTTAGGTTTTTTTGAAACAAATTTTGGCCCTTAAAAGTCCTTAATTTCGGCCAAAATCAGCTGAAAGTGCTTAAGTTTAATCATCTGAAATTTCTGTATTTTCTACAACTGCTATTTTGAGTGTGAATTAACATTTTGCAGGAATATTTTTTGCAATTCATTGCTAAATATATATTTCAAGGGTTATGATTTTGAATTCGTTCCTACTTCTAATTTAAACAGTGCAATAATCTGGGCAAAAAGTTAAACATAAACATTTCAAATTATTTCTTTTTTGCAAATGAAGAGTTCATAGAACATTACATCAGAAACAACTTTTCTCTTTTGGGGGATATGAATTCTTTCATTAAACAGCACTAAATTTGCAGACTTATCAACATTTTGGTGATTTTCAGATCAACTTCTATGCAAAATTTTAGAGATTTATGAATTTTTGATGATTTTTAAAAAATATTATAACATTGATAAATTTCATTAAAATAATGATAATATAAGTAATATATAATTAAATAAGTTATATTTAAGAAAAAACATTTCAATAATTCATTATTATTTTTCTCTATCATATTATAAAGTGACATTACTTTCGATTTTGGTGACCTATTATTAGAATATTTTGAATCTGAAAAGTGAGCAAGATAATAAATGCTGTAAAACGCAATTTCCGAAACACTTCTTAGCAAAGGCTAAATAGCTATTGTAATTACTTAAAATGTTTTCTTTTATATTTTTTCATGGTAAGAGTTTTCTCATTTTAATTGTCTCAGAATGTGTATCAGTTTTTGGTATAAAATTCATTTTACATTTTCCTTCTTTGAATTTTTTTTCAAAACCTTTTGGTTTTTTGCTGTTATAGAATAGGTAGGATAATTTTTCTTTTGGATTTTGGACAGTGCATCTTGGAAGGTTTAGAAAGATCTGAATACTAGACTAGATTAAACAAGACCTAAGATTCCAGAAAAATGTGACAAAAGGAAAAATGTCTTTGCGGCACTAACATGTAATAGATATATTTTATGGGAAGTTTGTAATGAGTTTCTAATTTTTTGGAGAATTTTTGAAAGAATAATGAAATTATAATTATTTAAATTTTTTACTTCTTATTCTAGACGTCTTTTTCTTAACATGTTTATCCTCCATTTATTTTCCCATCTTTTCACTTGTACTAGTTCAGCTCAGTCGATAAATATACATGTAAACACATTATGGAGTAAATGTAATCACTCTTTGAAATTTACTATGTTTATTTTACTGTAGTGACACTCGAGCACTACTTTAGAAATGTATGCAACTTCTCAGTTACATTATAGAAAAAGAATGCACAAGAATAAATATCATATAATGAGTTATCAAATTGTTGCCTCATCTTCAGTGCAAATACCATATTAAAACTAAAATGGTATAACAAAAATTAAACAAATAAAAAAATATAGTTTTCACAGATGATTCAGTGACGCTTACAATTAACGTGCATGCGTCGCTCCTAAATGTTCTCATCTGTCTGAGACAGCCTGGTGACAGTATTTTTCTGTCATATTTCATAACACTTCCACTGTTGAAATTAACAATTTCAAAACTATTATGACAAAGAATGTAATGAAGGCACTGCAATTAAATACTAACAATAACAAATTATGTTACTTAATATTTTAATCATTATAGCAAAGATGTTCAGCAATTACATATTAATGACTACTTAAATTTTAGTAACAAATAGTTAGTAACAAGTGTTTATAATAAAGATATATATATCATTCTACAAGATTCATTCTACATCCAACTAAACATCTTCTTTTTAAAATTTCCACTTGTGACATTGTTTTAAATTATTAAAATTTCCACAATTTTCAGATAATGCATTTCCATATTTTCTGTGTGTATTTATTAATTGCCATTTTTTTATGCCATTTAGAAAGTCTGATTTTATTTATGTTGGATAAATCTGGTTCAGCAATAGTTTGAGAGGTCTACTAACCAAAATGTGACTTGGGTTCAAAGTTTCAAGATTGTTGTAGTCAGCTGAAATTGGAGTGAGAGGTCTTGAGTTCATTACTCCTTCAATGTCTCTTAAAATAGTTAAGAATTCTTGCTAAGTTAAATACTGATTACCAACAAATCTTTTCAAATGACTCTTGAATGATTTAACCCCTGGTTTCCCAATTCCACTCGAATCTGGTGACCTGGGAGAAACAAATTTCTGCTTTGTACCTTTGGTATAAAAATTTGTTAAATTATCATCTGGACACTCAACCAATTTTTGAAGTTTTTTGATTTCTACATTAGTTAAAAACATTTTAGAATTATCATTCACTATTGTAGAATATTTTTCCCTTTTAGAGAAAAAAATGTTTTAAGCTTGCAATTAAAGATTGGCTAGTTTGGTCGGCTTACTCAACCATTAATTGTTGAACTGTTATGGGTTTGTTCTTAAAACATGTCACATATCTGTAGGTGATGTTTCTATAAGTGTTTCTGCCAATAAGTGGTCAGAACCTTTGTTGTGCATGATGTAACAGAGATTATGATCCTAAATGAAAGTATTTTAAATGAAAAGGCCCCAAAATAATGATAGTTAAATGATACTTACCTGGTAAAACAATAGGATGTTTACTATTAGTAGGTAGGTCCAAATGGGGCAGTCATTTACCCATTCTAATTAATCACATGTTATCAAGAAAGACATTCACGAATGCTAGTTTACTTTTGGGATGAACCCTTTTACCTCATTTTAGTTGTTTTGTTTCTTCTTTGAACTAGTTTTTTGGGGCCTCTAATAAAATCAACACTTCAGCTCTTTTTATCTCTTGTAAAGAAAGTATTCTATACCTGCTTACTTTAGGATTCTTACAGTTAAAGGTAAACCTAAAAATGAAAATTACAATATGAATAAATTTATTATAATTAACAAACAAATTAAGAATATCATTAGAAAAGTTTAGTCTACATGTAATTAAAGCTACTGTAAGTTACTGTAATTAAAGCTTATGTAAGTTAGAATTGTTACGTAATTCAGTGTTCTTTTCAAGTTCGTTTGGACAAACCTCTTCAGTAAGCTCAATTGATAAGCCCTGTTGAGGAATCTCTGGATGTGTTAGAAAGTCACAGCATGGTCACCATTTGGAACTATTCACAAGAAGGTCAGTTTGAATACCACACTTCAGCTGCTTGATTATCTTTTGTTGGACAATAGAACCAGTCTCTCAGCTATGTTAACTTTCTAATCTAGTTAACTCTGTTGACATTGAAAGATTTCCACTGGTACCCTTAATTCAGCATAGCATTATTTTGGCATTTGCCCAATTATCCATGATCTCTTTTGATCAACTAACTTTTTCATCTGAGAACCTAGATGTGCTGCTAGTAATGCTCCAAATAACTCAAGACAAGGTAATGTAACTCTTTTCACAGGTTGTAACGTGACTTTGGAATGCAACAAAACTCTCAGAAATTTGCTCTTGCTTATGCAGTCATAAACAAGCTTACTGTACACCCTCTGACTGGCACTGAGAAGCCATGGATTTTTAGAGTCAGATTCGCGATTCAAAATCAATCTAGGAACTGTAATCTCGTTTAGATGAGGACTCTCATATGACCACTTTGCCCTCTCTTGAGAGATTATCTGAAAGTAGTTCACCATCCAATGTCAATTTTTGAACCCAACGTTCTTGTAAGAATTTTAGTCTAATAGTGAACGGAGTTGTTAACCAAAACGGGTCAAATATCTTCCCTGCAGTTATTCAGATGAATCATTTCATATTATGCTTATTTTAAAGAAATTCTATCAAACTAGTTGTGTGTGTGCTCAAACTGTCTTCACTAGTGTCCTAAGACATTCTTAAGATCTAAAGTGTCTTGTTTGAGTCATTGATTTTATATAGATGGATTTTGAACACTTCTTCCATCTTTTCATCAATTCAGGATTGTTGGGTATCCACTTATTCAAGTTCATGTTTGCTTCACTTATAATTTGTTTAGCTTTATGTTATAAGCTTAGAGCCACCTCTGCACTGTCATGTTCTGTAACAAAGTCATCAACAATAATAATAAATACAAGAATTCAATATTTCAAATACATCTGGTTGCTTATCATGATATTTTTATATGTGTTCTTTAATTGTTGCAGCCAGCAAGAATAGAGTTGAATTAATTCCAAAATGTACATGCTTGAATCTGTATATTATTAATATTACATAATTTAAATCACATTGAATTTTTATCCTTTTCTACCAAAGCAATCTACAAAAATGATTTTTCTATATCTGCTGAAATAGTAATTTTAGCTAATCAGAAATTAATTAGCAGATTGAACATGTTAGGATTCAAATTAGTCCCTGTCCTTAGACAATCATTCAGTGATAACTATCCCACCTGATGTGAGCTGCCATCAAAGATTATCCTAGTTTTCATTGATGCACCAGTTTTTCTAAATGCCAGTTGATGTGGTAGGTAAAAAACTGATTTACCAAGAGATATATATTTCATCTGACACTTTTTCAATAATACCTTGCTTGAGATAATCATTTAATAATTCCACTATATACAGAGAACAGTGTTTTGTC